AGAATCCGTGGTTATGGAAACCAGTCCGTGTTCAACCGAGCGGTCCAAACCAGTGCGTGTTCAACGGACGTTCGCAAACGCCGAGGGAACCGAAGTCTATGAAGAACATCCTGGAGGCCTCGCGCGGCAACTTGAGGCCCGATTTACGTCGGATCTACGTCGGATTTACGTCGGGTTCACGTCGGACTACGTCGGATTTACGACGGATTTACGTCGGACTGACTCCTGAGCATCGCCGCGCGAGCGTTAAGCCGGGCCTGTCCCTCTACTTATGTTGCTCCCGTCGTACTTAAGGACCACATCCCAGAAATAATTTCAAGCACCCGAAAAAAAGTGTCGGAAGAGTGTCGAGACAGTGTCGGACGAGTGTCTCCCAGGGTCCGAAATGTGAAAACCATTGAATTTTGGGGTACTGTTCTGGTGCTCGAAATTCCTTCTGGTGATCAAGACTAAAAGTAGGTTGGAACATCATAACCCTCTACTAGGGAACCGCACTCTATACACCGACGTATTTTGCTGGCCCTGCACTGCAACTTGCATAGGAGAGCGGATCCTGGTGTATATAGGACCCGAGTGTAAATGTTTTCCGTTGTTTTCCCAGGGGGCGGATCAAAGACTATACCCCACACCACCCCGACGTCGTCCCCGACCCTCACAGAGTCCGGGGAATGAAAACAGCCCGCCAATGGTAATGTATATGTTCCAGTTTCCGATCTACAGGGGGAATACTCAAAAATAGTCAAAAATTGTCAGGGGACGATTTTTCTACTATGTTTAAATATTTCTTGAATATATGTGTTGACCCTATTTTATTTTTAGTCCAAAATCCCCCAGTAGGGGGACATGCCCGACCTAAGACGACTGGAATGGGTACGGAAAGAATGTGTTCAAAGACCGACAGCATGCGCCACGAAAATATATACACAGACACCTTCCGACGAATTCTGCATGTACCTCCAGGGAGGGCGGCGGTGTCCAAAGTCGCTGGGTCTCGGCGGTGACTCATACACCGCCACTCTTCCATGAGGCCCAGGAGCAATCCATTGGAGGGTGTATGTGTGTATTTTTGTGGCGGACAATACTTCTGGGTGGAAATGGGGGGTGACCTCAAGGTTGAGCAGGGACCGACCGTCCCGGCATTCCTATAGTCCTACCACGAAAGGTTCAAACAAGACAATCTCCGCCAGAAATGTTCTAAGAACATTTCGCGGAAACCACAGAGGGTTCTTAGAACACTGTTTGGTGGGGCTGTAGGCGAGCCAGGACGCTTCGCCGCTGCCTGACAAGGGGGGGTGGAGAAAAGAATCCTCAAGGGGCCCCTCGGGGCCCCTCTTGGAGCCGGCAGGGGCCCCAGAGGGGCCCTGCAAGGACTCCTTCAGAGCCCTCTCCCGCCGCCCCTTGAGATGTTTTAGGTCGCCCCCCCCCCCTTACCACCCGCCCGAAGCAGCTCCTGTCCACTTCGAACCAGCCTCGCTGCTGGTGTCGCCGCGGACGTTGTGCATTCGAGACAGCAGGCCGCCTGTCCAACAACCGTCTGTTTTTGACAACTTCTGATGTTGGGCATCGTGCCCATTTTTCCGTACCCATGTCGGGCGTGCACAACGTCGACTGGGCCTCCACGCGGTGCGGCAAGTCTGGCCTCTCGCGCTTGTCCTGGGGTGATGGGCAGAAGAACCCCCCCCCCCTAGCAGGCCACCCTGCAGGCGAAGCCCTCCGGCGAGCGCTTCCCAAGGAGGGGGGCGAAGAGGGCAGAACTACCGCGTGCGAGTGCCATGACAATTGACACTCGAACAGTCCTATCATTGGATTTGACATGTGTACGTGATGTTTTAAGACTGTATAGAACATGTTTCAAACACGTTTTTGGGGGATGGTTAAATGCTCTGAGTTTCTTAACAAGCGTGGGGGTGTACCCCTCCGACGGGGGTCAACCTCGCCTCGTCGTCGCGCCGCGACGGGGGTCGGAGCGCCTTCGGCGCGCGGTGGCTTCCTGCGACGGGGTTCGATGTGGGGCTATCGGCGGTGGTGACGCCCCCCCGACACTTATGAAGAAACTCGGAGCATGTGTTAAAACATGTTTCAGACATCTGGGGGCTATTTGGCAACATGCTTTCCTTTCATTTTCCTCTTCCACAGGCTTACGTCAGGTTCGTGTCGTGCCGACTCCGGCGTTGGTTTCCAACACCGGGGGGGATCGTTCAACCTTGAACGATCGGCCGTTTCCGAAACGTCCAAGTCGTTCCACATCGAGCGATTCTGGGTCGCCCGCGGCGTTTCAACGTTGAACGCCGCTGGCGGGGTCGCCGCCGGTCGACACGGCACGAACCTGCCGTGCTCAGCTCGCGCACAGGACTGCCTGGACTGGCCTGTGGGCGCCAGCCGTGGGTTACGTCGGAGGTCGGGGCGCTTTCTTCTGGGAGGGCGCCTGCTGGGCACCCTCACCGACCACGGCCAGGTTTCTCCCCGAAGGGGCCCAGACACACACAACACACACAACACACACAACACACAACACACAACACACAACACACAGCACACAGCACACAGCACACAACACACAACACACAACACACAACACACAACACACAACACACAACACACAGCACACAGCACACAGCACACAGCACACAGCACACAGCACACAGCACACAGCACACAGCACACAGCACACAACACACAACACACAACACACAACACAAAACACACAACACACAACACACAACAAATAACACACAACACGCAACACACAACACACAACACACACAACACACACAACACACACAACACACACAACACACACAACACACACACACTCACAACAC